CAGTCAGGGCCCCTATAGTCTCCAGTTCTTCAGGAACAGGTATAAGGAAATCATAACACGGAACCCTTGAGATGTAGGTTTCCCAGGAGCCAGGTAGGACTTCAGCTTGCAGGTTTGAAAAGGTGGGGCGAGAGTAGGCTTTCAAATTTAGAGTGACGCCAGAAAGTTGGAACGCGTGTCGCTTTGTGCCGTAGAGGCGTACAGCACAGGAAGTCTCAACACTGATCATCTCTAAATCCGCGCGGGCACCATGCGGTGTGAACTGCAGGGTTTCCTAGCTTGCCAAGGGTGGCCACTCAAGGCTACAACCCCCTGAAGAGCCCCCTGAAGCAGGGCACCTATGCAAGCCCCAAAACGTAAGACCCTGAGCCCAGAACCCCTGAAAGCCCAAACTGTAAATTGCCTACTGAAACCTATCTCCTCCAGCCGAAACCAAGCGCAAAACTTTCCTGTACACATAAACAAGCAGCGGAACATAGACCATACTGTGAATGCTTAAACTCCAAGAAAAGCACTGCTGCGCAACATTCTCAAGCCCCAGAAGAACACGCGCATGAGATTACTGAAAGCAGGTATGTGCCGGCGTCAGTCTCGTCGCTTTGATGGTGTTCGTGTACTTCCGAAGAGGTTACCAGTTCCTCGGCGCAGACCGGAGATGTTGGGTTCAGAGTGTGGGCTTCAGAGTTCACGGGACTAGTGGGTTTCAATTTCAGGGGTTTGGGTGTTCGGAGATTCTGCTGGGGCATGTCAACGAGTTGGTGATCTAGGAGCTCGTAGATTTGAGAATCGCAGTTATGAACGAACTACTTCGGGCCTGCCGCATGATGGGCTGCTGCCGGCGTGAAGTGATTACCCTCACAAGACTCCTAAGCTGAAATGCGGTTGTTGGTCAGTGCCAGCTTTTTGGGTTGGTCGGTCGACTGTTTTGGTCAAACCTATCTCCACCGGAATGTAGAATCGCTGCCGCGCCTATGAGGAATGTCAAGGTTTAGGGCTAGCCCCCGCAAACAGTAACCCTAAACGTACCCAACAGCCAGTTTATACCAAAGTGTGACTTCCACCCCTAAATCTTCACTAACCCTAAACCCCAAGCCCCTAAACCCCAAACTCTAAGCCCTAAACTGCAAGCCCTAACCCTCAACTCAAAGCCCTTTGCCCAATTCCTTCGAGTGAGGTGCGGTCCTCCCAGTACGTTCAAGTGCCCCGGCATGCCGGTGACCCCTCTCATCGCGCTTTGCTCCAATGCCCTCCGGGCTGCAGGTGGTTTGGAGCTTAGAGTTTAGCTAGGGCTAGGGGTGTAAATGGGAGTTTCCGAAAATAGGGGACCATAATATGGCACCCTAAATAGTAAGGTCCCATTATAAGGACCCCAAACTAAGGTACCCCTAATTTTCGGAAGCTCCCAAATGGGGTTGGAACTTTAAGCCTGCATTTGTCGAGGGTACTTCTTATGATGTCTTGCTACACGTCCTTAAACGCGGTAGGCTTTTGCGGATTGAGGGTACGTCGAGGATTGTCAAGCTGGTTTATGGCAAGTCAGCCACTTAGAGCTTCTTGCACCGTTTCTTGTGTTTGAGTTTAATGTACTATCAGCGAAGAGATGAATAGCATTCGAGCTTATGTCTTGAGTAGTGCTTGTTCCGACCAACGTTTGTTCAGTGGTGGTGGTGGTGGTGGTGGTGGTGGTGGTGGTGGTGGTGGTGGTGGTGGTGGTGGTGGTGGTGGTGGTGGTGGTGGTGGTGGTGGTGGTGGCGGTGGTGGTGGTGGTACCACCATGAGGATTGAGGGAATCCGAGCAAGCCCGAAACCCCAAACTTGACCAACGCGCTCGTATTGCCTACATTGTCCAAGATGTAGACCATTTATTTTGTGGAGCGCCCTAGCCTCCAGACACCTATGGCTTGCTGCTGTGTTTTACCCAGGCTCTTGTTTCCTTTCATGTTGAAATCGTGTTCGGGCTGGCTGTTTTCGCGGTGAAGAGCCGTCTTGTTGTGTTTTCATATGTTGTATATGTATATAAGATATAATGTTACACATACATACATGCATACATACATACACATAAAGTATACGATATATTTATGTATTTATATATATATATATATATATATATATATATATATATAGATATACACACATACAGATATGTCCCAAAGTGTTTATACAGTCACACATATGTAGAACTCCACAGACATGTATATACATATACACACATACATACATACATACATACATACATACATACATACATACATACACACATACACAGTTTACATACATACACGCGCTATCCCCTTAGCCCTTGACACGAAGAGCCCTTGGACTCCGCCGAGGCTTCAAGGCAAGAAACTCTGGTGAAACGGGTGTCGGGGAACGTTTGCAGTGTTTAAAGACTACCCCGTCAAGCCTTAAACCGAAGATTTGCGGTTCAGGGTATTGGGCTTAGGGTGCAATTAGCATGTAGGGGCTTAGATAGAGATCCCGAATCTACCCACACAGCACCCATATACTGAGGTCTACCTCATGTGCCACCTGAGCCACCTTGCCTGGATCCGTCTCTTGGTGTCTTCTTTCGGCCCACCCTGAAGCTCGAGTATGTAAGCTCCGGCCCCAAACCCTAAACTCTATATAAATCCACCCCTTAAGGCCTAAAACCCCAAGGCTTACTCAAACACTAGAATGCCTATATATATATATATATATATATATATATGTATATACATATATATATATATATATATATATCATTGAGACAAGTCTAGCTTAAGGATGAACCCTGAACCTCAAGGTCTCCTGGTCGTCAGCCTCGTCGTGTTTTTCCTGCACAGCGGGGCTGTTTGCCTCGGCATCCTCGATCCCAAGGATCGGTTGGGGCTTAAGGTATTTTAGGGTTCCTTTAACGGGTTGCTTTTAAGAATGGGGTGTTAGGTCTTTTAGGGTCCGGTGCATCCATGCCTGACCTCATACACCGAATCAGTTTGACTGGTTCAGGTATATAAGTTTGGCTACTTGATGCTTGAACACTACAATCTAGAAGGCTTGTAACCCGCCTCCTAGACCCCAAAGCCCCCCCGCCCTGGAATGTCCCCTTTCAGGCAGTCGGCAAAAAGCCCGAAATCACTCAACCCTACACCCTGCACGCTTAGACCCTACTGGTAATACAGGGGCCTAAATAAAGTACAGTATAATGCGCCCCAAAACCCTATTCCAGTGATTCGGGCCCCTATATCATCGTACACTTAGAGTATCCCTTAGAAGGGAGCCCTGTAAAGGAACCCTATTCTAATGACTAAGGCCCCGATATTATTGGTACCCAGAAGAGCCTGGAGGTGGATCGCCGCCGACGCGTTTGCACCACCATCCGGTCGGCCGGCCAGCGTACTGGCAACAGAGCCAGCCATGGGCTCTGCGGTGGCGAAAGGCGCGTGTACCCTAAGGGTGAATGTACTCATGTAGCATATACTTCGGCCCCCAAAGTACCTAAGTAGGGACTACAAACAGGCCGATGTATATACTATATGAGCATATGGATCCTCAGGGTGTAGGGTCGTGTGATTCAGAAAGTAGAGTTCTGAGGGTGCGGGGTTGGGGTTGAAGGGTTGAGTGGTTCTGCCGTCAGGGCTGCTTGAAGCGGGTTTTGGGGTTCAAGCCTTTTGGCTTGGTTGGCATTCCCCCAGGGCTACTTGAAGCAAAAGCTGCGCTTGTGCCATGCGGTCTGAACTTAAAAGCCGCTCAGCCCTGAACCATATCATCCTAGACAGGGCCCCAAACACTCGATCCCATACACCCGAAAGCCCCGAACCCTCCCCCTCGGAACCCCTAAACCCGAAATCCCTACCTAGAGTAACCAAGGTAGTTTAAGCCAGCTACATGTACCAATTTTTACGGGTCATATCCGGGTTTTTAAGGTACAGGGGTCCCTTTTTGAAAGGTACGTTGGTTGCTCTAGGTCCCTAAACCCTGAACCCTGGGTAAAACCTAAGGCACCCTATTGCAGACCGCAGGAGTCCCTCTGGCGACAAGGCAAAGGCCTAGCAGTGAACTCTCGAGTATTGTTGGCATTATCATGAACACAAAATGTTGGCTGTTTTTCACTATGATTGGATTGATATTACTATAACCGACTATATTTGCTCTGATTCCTGTGCTCATGTCTAGAGCCCCCTGCATCAGGATTTGGGAGTTTAGGCTTTGGGTTGAGGGCCACTTGGGCCCGCCATAACTACGAATGTAAATTCTGGAGTTAAGCAGGTATCTCCGTTGCATGGGTAGACATGTCTAATCATTTCAACCCCGTTTTCAATACAAATGACCAGCATGACTAGTATCCGTTTACATGTATTATGGCAGGTGTAACATACATGCGTACGCCACCTCTAATTCTAGTAGACGTGGAACAATGGTTGCTTCGAGCCGACTGCTGGTCTTCCCGACCAGTCCAAAGTCGCACTCCGTCGTGCGATGCCGTTCCTTATTCACCGCAAGAGCCAGAAGCAAAACAGGCGCGAAGATGCTGGCATGCTTCTCCTGAGATGTTTGTGCTAAGGTTGGAAGTAGCCTACAACCATATGCGGTTGCCAAGAGCCAAAAATGTTCGAGCCCACAGAGCTATGGTTAAAGAACTTCGGATGCCGCAGCATGTGTGACATCTGGCATTGCTTGCAGAGTGTTGAAGCCTTATTAACCCTAAACATGAACCCTAGTGGCACTTGCAGGCCTGCATGTAAAGCCAAACTTTCTCAGCCTTACAGCACTTTATGATCACTACAAGCACCCAATGATCCCTATGAGCTCTACAAGCCCTTTACCCGCCTCTATAAGACCTCACAGAACCCTAACAAATCCTCATCGATCCCCTGTACTATGGATCCTGTGTAGATCCCAGTAGAAGCCTCCAAATTCTATAACCCGGCTAAGAAGGAGAACCCTCGAAATCCACGAAAAAAACCAGGAGAAGAAGCCCTTCAGGCCGCACGAGCCCTGGAAACTCCTCAGCCCAGGGTGGTCCGTTCCGTGGGGTCGCTGGCCGAAGCAACGGCCAAGCTTCAGCAACTAGGCGCCCCTGGGGCTTGGGGTTGCTTGAACTCCGACAGGCGGATGCCTCAAACTAGGTGTGTATGGAAGATGGATAGGTGCACTGGGATTGAGCTCACATCCTGTGCCAAAGCTTTGTCTTTGTACGCACACGTGTAGTGGAAACCGCCCAGCTCCCTTTTCAAACAGATTCTGTTAGTTGCCCGTGGAAGAGCGCTTGACGACCGTTGCATATCAGCCAGGCTTCTGTGCCGTGGACACGGATGCTGCAATCGATGCCTTCGGAGTGCTGAACCGATCGGTGCTGCGGCTCAAGTTACGTACTGCTTGATTGAAGCATTAGCCCTGAGACTTCGTGAGCCCCGTCTAATTGCGACGACCCCTGTATGAAGCGGTACGAAGCTTCTCCCAGCGATGGCGTTTGTGCATAGATTTCGGCCTTCTAGGAAGGACCGTACCGGGTTTCGATTCTTTTGGTACCTATAGGGGCTTTCTGCTTCAGGGACCTCGGAACTGTAAGCATCTTTACCCATAGGCCCCAAAGTAGTTCCTTTTTGGGATTACCTTATAGGATTCTATATACGAATCCCAAAAAGGAACTACTTTGGGGACTTTGGGTAAAGCCTTGTTCTGAGCATGTCGGGCCATTGCGGTTCTTAGCAGTTGCTCCTTTGTCGCTGTTCTGAAGGCTGAGACAGCATGCAGCACCTCAACTTCTGGGCTGTGTGGGCCCCATAATAATGATAATAAGGTTAATAATAATAATAATAATAATAATAATAATAATTACAATAGTAATAACACTAATAATAACACTAATAATAATAATAGTAATAATAATAATAGTAATAATAATAATAGTAATAATAATAGTAATAATAATAATAATAGTAATAACAATAATCGTAATAATAATAATCATAATAATCATAATAATAATAATAATAATAGTAATAATAATATCATTAATAATAATAATAGTAATACTAATACTAATACTAATAGTAATAGTAATAATAATAATAATAAAAATAATAATACTAATAATAATAACAATAATAATACGAATAATAATCATAATCATAATAATCATAATAATAATAATCATAGTAATCATAATAATAATAATAATAATAGTAATAACAATAATAACAACAACAATAACAATAATAATAATAATAATATTAATAATAACAGTAATAATAACAACAATAATAATAGTAATAATAATAATTATTATTATTATTATTATTACTATTTTATATATATATATATATATTTATGTATCCGACTACGGAATGCCGTCAGCTTTCTCCATATGAATACCTGATCATATACACCAACGCTTGTTTGGTCTTCTCGCCTCTTCTTGAAGGGGTATTCAGAACAAACGCTCTGTTGGGGCGAGTGCCGATCGTGCGGAGCTCTGACATGCGGCCCTCTAGCTCTGCTCCGCAGCATTGACTCGACAACACACCCCGAAGCCCCACAACAACTTTACGAAACGAAGATTTGGAAGTCTAGGTCTAGACCAGCAGCCTAAATGCTAAGCCGGCGAACACACCGGATCTGAAGGTACTCTGGGTTGTGCAGAGTCCCGAGACAGAGGATGATGAGGCCATGAGGCTTTGGGCCATCGCGGGGCTGATTTCTTTCGGGTTTTCTGATGTTAGAGTTGAGATGTACTGAGGTAGGTTTAGTAGGGTTTGCGTGCTTTTGGGTTGAGATTTATTGTTGTTGGCAGTGGTTGGTTTAGTAGGGTTTGCGGGCTTTTGGGGTGTCGAGCTTCAGGGTTGCTTGAGGGTTTTCGGTTGAGGTTCTGCAGGCTGCAGGGCTGGGATTTAGTTGTTTCAGGCTATACCCGTAGGCTCCATAGTCGTTGCTTTGGGGGCTACCTTATAGGATTCTATATATGAACCACAAGAAGGAACTGCTATGGAGCCTCTAGGTAAGGCTATACAACCATGGCCATGTTTTTAAGCATTCAGGCTCCTGTCAGTCAGTGTAAAGCTGCACAGTGAAGCGCCGTAAAGATTTTCAAACCTAAAAGAACTGGGGGGTGAAGCCCCTACGGTAGACTCAATCCACCAGGTGCTTTCGGGCTTGGAGGAGAAGGAGAAAGTCCTCGAGCTTCCTCGTGGCATAGTTTTTTTTCTGAAGCAGATGTTGGGTGTTGGGTTTTGATGTTGAGGGCTTTGGTTTCAGGGTATGTGCTTCTATCCATACCTTCCGCCTGCATCTACCGTACACAGACTACCCCCAGCTCTCATCTTAGGGGCGCATCTAATGCTTCTTCTAAGTAGGCTTCTTCGCAGCCGGGGCACCATTAAAGGAGCTAAATAAATCCTGGTAAAATCCTTCGCTGAACATGTGATAAAACTGGGTCCTCAGGTGGCTCAAGCATGCCAAGCTTTTTGGTAGCCTTTTCTAGCCTTGCCTAGCTTTTCAATGGAATTCCTTAGCCGGGCCACCGGGCCGAAATCAGGAAAAATCTAGCTTTTTCTAGCTTTTTCTAGTGGATTGGAAAACGCACTGCATGCCACATAATTCCAGGAAAAATCCACCGCTCAACTAACTGTCAACCCTAAAGCACCAAACAGAACCTTCAGTCATACATCCGAAATCCGCCACCCTGAACCCTTTATCTTCATCCCAAAACCCTCGCCACTATCTCCAAACCCTGAACTCCTGAACCCAAAGCCACAGGTCCAATCGAGACGTCATTGCAGGAAATGATTTGTCTTTTTTAGCTATTTATAGCTTTTTATAGCTTTTCTTAGCCTTTGCAAGCTTTGCCTATGTTTTTGACATGTTCCATGGTTTTCTTGTACTTTTCCTGCAATGCTGAAGCGGCCCGCTTTGAAGCGACATGTGATGTGCTCCTATGATCTCAACCCTAAACAATTTCCTTGTGCAGCTTTCTGTTCGGAATACAATGTTGCTCTGGGTGGGTGGCCCCGACACGCTCCAAACAATTTCCGGCGCCCTGCATAGAGTGACCCCGGCTGTTCCCCAGGACGCGTGTCCCCATAAAGTGGTACATAAGGATGAAAGTGGGCTTAAAGAATTAGAAGGATCTAGCTTCTAGAGGGGGGGGCTTGGAGAAGGGTACTGTAAATGTTGTTAAGGTTGGGGGGGGTCGAGGGTTTAGGGTGCCACATTGCGGCATGGGCTGAAGTAGAGTTTGCTTTTTCCTTCAGAGTGGTTATTCATAGTCTCTTCTTCAACCTAACCGTCAAGCCTAAGTCCTGTAAACTTTCAATCGCACGCCAAAAATCCTATACATCAAACAGAATATACATCCAGCCTAGACCCTAGATAGTAGGAGCCCGATCCCCTCCCCCTTCGCTGCTCATTTTGGGAAAAGTCAGGTTTCTGGCAGACTTCCACGACCGGAAACCGAAGCACCGGGCACGCGCGACCTGCAGCAAAAGTCTACTCCCGCAATCTTTACACACCGGGGCCCAAACCCTAAACTCTAAATGATGCAGAACACTAGGACACTATAAGGTCTATCGTGACCGCAATGAGGATAAGTCGTGGTAGGCTACGTCGGTTGCATAACAAGCGGATATAGAGCTGTGTCACTGACTGGTGTAGGCCGAAAGGTCTTATAAGGTTTAGCTCAGGGCTTCTATAAGGGCTGACGGTCTAATTACAACCCTGTGCAATCATGCGCATTTTTCCCCCACGGTTGTCTATGGAAGAGAGACTCCTGTATCTCCCCTCCCCCCCCCACCCCCCCCCACCCCCCCACCCTCCCCCACCCCCCCAAAACCTTATCCCCAACCACAATGAAACCCCTTCCCCCAAGCCCGAAGCCCCGGAGTCTATCACACCCTGCAGCCAAGAAGCTCCTCCCCGCTCCTTGCTACCCAATGAGGCGGTCTGAATAGTGTGCCCCTTGAGCTGGTATAGTCCTTGCATTAGACTTTAACATCCACAGAATACCTTATCCTACTCTCGTCATCAAGGCTTATTATGGAACCCGTATAGATTTAGAGATCCTCTAGTAGAAATCCTTATTGAACACCGCTAGAGAAACCTTATTCCAATTATTAAGATTAGCCGGCTACCCTTTACACCGAGGTGACTGGCCTCTGCGTTCGGCTGATGGAGTACGAGACTTGGCGAGAGGCCTCTCAAGTCTGGGGTTCAGGGTTTCGGGCTGGGGCCTAAACAATTACCAAAACTATTTTGGGGGTTCCTTAATATACTTATAGCATAACGGGCCCCAAAACCCTACTCTAGTTATTAAGGCCCTATAGTGGGCATCGAGTTTTAGGGATTATAGGGTTTCGGGTTTAGGCATAATAAGGTTTTGGGTTTGGGGTTTCGGGCTGTGACGTGAGGGTTTGGGTAGTTAGGCATGGGGTTTTGGGGTTAAGGGTTGCGGGCCTATGTTAAGTGTTCCAGGGTTTTGTGTTTCCGGTGTAGGTTTATAGGGTTTCAGTGCAGGGTTCAATGAGGCACACGCACCTACCGGGATGCACGCACACATTTTTTGTGCATGCGCACCCACACACACACTCTCTCTCTCTCTCTTTCTCTCTCGCTCTCACTCTATCGGTCTCCCTTTGCGTTTGTTGTTTTCTTTCGCTCTCTCTCTCTCTCTGTCGGTCTCTGTCCCTCTCATATTCTCTCTCTCTCTCTCTCTCTCTCTCCCTCTCTCGCGCGCTCTCGCTCTCTCTCTCTCTCTCTCTCTCTCTCTTTCTCTCTCTCCCTCCCTCCCTCCCTCCCTCCAGTATTGCAGCACCGATTGCCGACAGGCTGTGCTGGCAACAAGCCCCTCCGTCGCGGCGACCATCAGTGGAATGACAGGGCTGCTTGTGACGACACCCGAGGTCTGGGGCCTCACGGTACGTTGTCTGTGTTTTCAGATATGGGTCAAAACCAGTGTATCAACACAAGCGCCGCCAATAAATTCAGTTTTCGGAATGCCTGTTCCAGCTCCTTCTGTGGCTTATAAACCCCTGAAGGCCGTGAACCCTGAATGTAGGCTGCCCAGCATGCCGGCTGTGTGATGTTGAGAGGCGGTTGCGGTGAATCTCGCCACGGCCGCCGAAGTCGCAGTTTCTTCGGTCGCATTGTATGTCTTGGTGTGGGTTGGGCTTCTTGGGGTTCAAGGCTTTGGGTTTAGGGCTTGGGTTTTAAGTCGTGTGCTGCTTAGTCCGTGTGAGTCTACATCTGCTGGCATTTTCGGTGCTAGCTGCAATGATAGCGAACGCAGACACCAAGGAGACACGCCTGGATCAAAGCGGTCCGGGGAGGGTCTTGGAGGTTTTTCTATCGGGCGTACTTTGCGAGGTTTTGCCAAGCACGGAAAACTGATTCCCACGAGCCCACTCCCACACAATGTCAAAGCCCGGCGAACTGATTCCCGCATGGTCAGTGGGCCGATTTACGTGGAGCCTTCATATAGATCTTCAAACTCAAATCTCTAAAGGTTGAAACGAATAGGGGGAACCTGCTTCAAATCTTGAGCCATAGCTTAATTTCTCTGGCTCTGGGCGACAATGCCGACGCAGCAGTTGCTCCACCGGGCGGCTGTGTTCTCCGCTGGAGTAGCTGCCGGGGCTTTCATGCGCCGGCGGCGCACCCTGGCGGCAGACCATCCCATCGCCCGCTTTGGCATCATCGCGGATGTGCAGTACGCCGACGTAGACGATGCATGGAACTTCCGGCGCACCAGTGTGCGCCGCTATCGTGGCGCCTTGGAGGCTTTGAGGCGGGCCGTTGAGGACTGGCAGAGGGGGCCGCCCTTGGAGTTCATCGCTGACTTGGGGGATATTATCGATCAACAGTGCGAAACCAACGGCGATTCTCAGAGAGCTCTGGATTTGGTCCTTCATGCCTGGCGAAATGCTCCGGCAGAAATTGTACATTTGATCGGCAACCACGAGCTCTACAACTTCAACCGGGCAGAGATGAGGAAGCTGATTCCCAACATCTGGCCCTGGTATCGCCGCCTGCATTTGGCACCGGGTTGGAGGGTGCTCATCCTAGATGGATATGAGCTCAACATGATCGAGAAAGATACCCGGCAAACGGTGGAGCAGGGCATTGAATATCTCAGCAAGCACAACCCCAATGACCTTCGCGCACCGCGCGGCACCGTCAACTACAGCGAAGGCCTTGAAGGGTTAAAGCAGCGCTTCGTCCCCATGGGAGGCGCCATGAGCCAGGAGCAGCTAAAGTGGATTCGACAAGAGCTTGCGGAGGCTCAGCGAAGTGGCGACCTTACCATCGTGCTTACGCACCTTCCCTGCGACCCAGGCGCAGCAAATCCCGTGTGCTTGCTTTGGAACTTCGACGAGCTCCAGGACATTTTCAAAGACTTCAAAGGGACAGTGCCCTTGGTGCTTGCCGGTCATTACCATCCCGGAGGCTACGCCTACAACTCCGAGACACAAACGCATCACGTTACCGTTGAGTCTCCTTTGAATGCTCCGGTGGAGACACCCATGGCCCACGGAGTGGTAGAGCTCTACCCTGACCGGATCTTGATCCAGGGCCGGGGCATCGTTCCCAGTCGTGAGTTGCCCTTGACCCTGAACTCTTAACTTCTTAACCCTAAAGAGATCGATGGTTCAGGGTTAGAGTAATAATTTGGGTTTGAGACGGGTTGAGGCTTGCGGTCACTTTGGGGTCTATATGGTTTAAGAGTTTAGAGCCCTGCGCGCCTAATTCGGGCCAGCAGCAACTCCGTCGCGCAGAGAGCAAGTTCTTGCCAGAAATGCTCAGGCGATAGTCAAGGACATTGTGACGGATTACTGGGTTCTTGTTAAAGGGTTTACTTCAAGTTACCATAATAAGGAGACCATATTATGTACCATAGATCGCTATTATGGCAACTGAAATAAAATTCCTTTACAAGAACCCAGATTGATACCGTGGCTTAAATCATCACCAACCGGATTCCTTCCTTGTTGCAATTTTGGTATTCTATTCTGAAGAAGGCCCCTAAATAAGCTCCTAAACCTTGTAGCTGCTTCGCCGGAGCATCGCTGCACCTGCAAAGAGCAGTCCGTGTGTCGATGAGATTTCTCATCCTATCGTTTCCTGAAGCCCGAAAGCCCAACAATATACCGTGAGTTGCGTAGCTCTGTGCCCCCGTAAACTCTTGACCCGATCTACACCCTAAACACACTAAAACTGAAACCCCAAACCATAGTCTTTCTGCCGGCTTTCCAAATTAAGCCCAGAGCCCCAGTGTTTGCGGGTTGCGGTTCAGATTAATCGGGGCCCCGGGATGCTGCTCTTTATATATTGTCTGTATATGTAAATAAATATTGTGTGTGTTCGTAAATTAATAATGAACAAATAAATAAATATGTATCAATATATATATATATATATATGTAGGTACATATCATTATGTAGATGCATATATACATGTATAGACATATATTCACATACTCACACACTACACATTAGACTACATATATACTTCTACACAAGACATGCTTGAGAGACTGCAGGCTTCACGTGGCGCTCTCGGTGCCGTTTACATTCGGATTGTCCGCGCGCCTCCTGCCTTGGAAGTCTAAGCCGATTGTGAGTTCTTTGATGGCTTTGGGCTTTGGGTTAAGTTAGGAATTAGTGCTTTGGGTTTGGGGTTCAGAGTATCGGGCTTAGGAGACTTCGGGTGTTCAGTCTCCGCCTGCCATCACAATTCATGCCTAAACCCTCCCAACTACCAGATCCTAGACATTCCCAGACCCGAAGGTAAAGTATAGGACGACGACGACTACTACTGCTACTAGTACTTCTACTTGCGATATAGTAGTACTACTAGTATCAATAGCTACTGTGCCTACTACATAATTACCGTCATATTGTATGCCAAAGCCCTGTTCTGTTTAGCAAGGCCTGTGCATTGCACCCTCGTAGCAACCTGAAGAATTTTGGAACTCTTTAGAAGAAGCCCTCAAGCGAAAAGGAGCCCTATTCCACTGGTCAGGCCCCAATGTCAGCTTCGGGTCGCTCTAACAGTCAGACATCTCTCATACCCCGGAGTTCAGGAAAAAGCTGCCGACCACGAGTGCCCAGCATCCGATACTTGGTTGGTCGTGGCATTTGTTGGGGGCATCGTTCATTAGGAGCGCAGTGTTTTTCGTGCTCTATAGGATTGCCATCTACGGTGCTGATCGGCGTGAAGACCGGTAGTGGCGAATTCCCTTGTATACCAGAGGATCCTAAATCGCCTGTCCCCAAGTGCGTGCGAATGTGAGAGCATCTTTTATCGAAGGGTGGTGACGTCCGTCTGCGCCTGGTCGGGTATTGCTCGCTCTATGTGCGCAGACCTCTCTAACACACGCATACAACTTGATGTTCTTGATTTCTGCTGTCGCAGAATCTGCAATATCGCATGGTTGTGGCCACCCACAACATCGTTATGCCCACAAGGCCCACAAGGACATGTGCAAAACCATTGCCGTCACAATCCATGAGAATACCAGTTTGTATAGAGTTAAACGGTCAGGGTTTAGGGTTTAGGTTTAGCGGTGGGGCGATTTTTGAACGGTGCTGTGGGATTTCATGACATGCGCAACTTGCAGCTAAGAAGTTTAGCAACGTTTTGAGGGGCATCACAATAACCAGGAGCCCAACCGATGTTTCGATGTTTGTCGGGCCAGAAATCTACGATGGTAGGAGACCGAAATTGGGCAAGAGTTGCACTCAGGGCACGGTTCCGCCGCAATTTCGTGACGAGGCAGTGCCAGGTTAAGAGTATGTACAAGCATCGAGACTACTACATCCGATGCAAACATGTTCGCATAAGGTGAACAACATAGCACAATATAACATATAAGATCCTCGCCTGTAATGACCAAAGTTGTTGTGGACAGTAGCAATGCAGCTTGCCACTCACCATAGAAGCTGCAAGCTTCTGACGAATTAAGGCCGAAAGCCCTAAACCACAAAGTAAAGAAGGGCCTCAGGGTTCAGGTGAGCCCATTCTTGCTTGAGAAAGACGTATCATGAGCAGGAACTGAGGCTAAAAGCAATCTCCATAGAACTCAGGCCGTGGCGTCCGAAAGTCAACCTTGCTCCTATTTAGTGTTTAGGGTCTATAATAGGGCTTAGGGTGGAGGGAAGTTGGTCTGCTGGTTTCCTTTTTCTCAGCCAACCAGCCCTAGAAAGCCCATGGACAGCAGACTTTCAATAGACGCGCCAACATCGAAGAGAAGGAGTTAAAGTCACATATAGACCCCTGACCCCCGACACACAACACCAACAAACTCAGACTCTCATATCTTCAACCTTCTAGTCCCGGGGCCCCTAAGCCCCGACGAAAAGTTCGTAACCATAGATGCTAAGCCCCATGATCCTTTAAAATGGTACGAAGCCCCCAGAAATATTAAGCCCCGTGATCCTTGGAACAGCCCCAGGGTCCATCCCAGGACCCCGTTTGTGAGGGTCACCGTCGGTGATCGGGCGCAGCGCACGGAGAGCTGCGACGAGGCGCGCGCTTTTGGCATCGCACCGTCATGGGAATCCGTGATACTTAACATGCATATACTGTGTAGCGTATGAACCACGATAGCACGCATTGAAGGTTTCTGGATGTGCGCTGTGGTAGGATAAAGAGTTTAGGGTGTGGAGTTTCGGTTGTAGGGATTGGGGTTGTAGAGTTTCGTGTTCAGGGTCCGGTGTCGAGCATGGTAGTAGTAGTCGTCGTCGTCGGCGTCGTAGTAGTAGTAGTAGTAGTAGTCATAGTTAGTAGTCGTGGTCGTGGTGGTGCTTGTGGTGGCAGTGGTGGCAAGCACAGCAGCAGCGGCAGCAGCGTCGTGTGTAGTGGCGACAGCAGTAATATGTCCAGCAGCCCAAGCAACATGTGTGCCGTCAGGGACTTTAGTTACTTTAGTGCACCAAGGACTTGAATTGCTACTGCTGAAGATGACTGGGAAAGTTGCGGTGAATGTCACTTGCAGCAGGAATCAAAAGAAGTCTCCATTCAATAGGCCGAAGCCTGCATCCCAAACCCTGAAAGGCCCTGCGGCACAGCTGACTTTCATTTCCTGCCCGAAGCACCTGAACCCTCAAACTGATCCTGCTGGACTTTCGGGTGTTGGGTTCGTTGCCGAAACGATCGCTCACTTGGATGGTGGTTTGGTTAGGGCTTACCCAACCCCCCAAAGCAGTTCCTTTTTGGGGTTCGTATATAGAATCCTATAAGGTAATCCCAAAAAGGAACTACTTTGGGGCCTATGAGTAGGCTTAGCCGACAGCGTGCTCCTGTGACCCCCTTAACTGGCCCTAAAGCTTCAAAAGGCGGAAAAGTATTTCTACTTTAGAGGAGCACGCGGGCGACTACTACTACTTTAGAGGAGCAGGCGGGTAACGACTACTATTTTTAGAAGAGCAGGCGGGCGACGACTACTACTTTAGAGGAGAAGGCGGGCGACTACGGAGACTACTACTAAAACCTGCGGTGGAAACGGCACTCCACAATCATTTTACATGAGCATGCAACAGCATCTAAGCCAAGCCAAGCCAAGCCAATTTAAAAAATATCTCCTTTCACCATTGTGACAGAGGAAAACCCTATCTAACAATAAGACCCTATCTAACAATAAGACCCTATCTAACAACAAGACCCTATCTAACAATAAGACCCTATCTAACAATAAGACCCTATCTAACAACCTATCTAACAATATGCCAAGCCAAGCCAAGCCATTTTGAAAAAGATCTCCTTTCACCATTGTGACAGAGGAAAACCCTATCTAACAATAAGACCCTATCTAACAATAAGACCCTATCTAACAATAAGACCCTATCTAACAATAAGACCCTATCTACCCTATCTAACAATAAGACCCTATCTAACAATAAGACCCTATCTAACAACAAGACCCTATCTAAGAATAAGACCCTATCTAACAATAAGACCTTATCTAACAATAAGACCCTATCTAACACTAAGACCCTATCTAACAATAAGACCTAGGTAAGACCCTATGTAAAAGTAAAGCCCAAGCCAAGCCATACGAAACCAAGCCGAACCAAACCAGTCTAAGAGCAAAACCCAAGCCGGGCAACAAAGCAGTGTGCCGGGGCGCAGAGTGCCGTGGCGCAGAAACCAAACGGCTGCCGCATGCGAAGGGGAGAGGTCACAGTCAGAGGCATGCGACAAAGGAGGCGAAAGGGGGGTCACAGGAGCACGCTGTCGCCTAGGCTTAGGGACCCCGAAAGACAAAGCCCGAAAGGTTTAAAGCAGTGATCCGCACCGAAGTACGGCGACTTGAGGCCACATGTCCCGATCTCCAGCTTCCTAAACTAGGACCTGCAGTAGGCTCTTATTCCCTGTTTTGTAGGGTTCGGGTTCTCTTATAAGCCCCTTTAAACCAAAAAGGACACCCTTTTTGTTCCTAGGTTATTCTTGGGTCTAGTAAAAACAAGTCTGAGGGCTGAGGGTTTGGGAACATTTGGATGACTACACTCTATGCCACAGTGCACAGGTTTTTGTACGAGACTTCTGTTGTACGGTGGAATCTGAAATTTCGTGCGTTCAGGCTATCAGGACGGCTGCTTTCCATATGTACTGCATTTAGGGGTTTAGGGTTTAGGGCCGGAGTTGGTAAAGATGGTAAATCCCAGACCCCCTACCTGACCTCAGCAATCCAATCTGCTAAACCCTAAACCCTAAACCCCTAAGGACCCCTTAAAGGATCCCTAAAGATCCCTTTAGAGGAACCCTAAGAGCCCTAAATGAAGGGTCCCTCCCTTTCCCCATTCTACTACTAGTCTTAGAAACAAGAAGCTTTTGGTGTTCATCTGAGCCTTGGGGTGTGTCGGGGTGGGGCCGGCTTTCATCATTCGAACGTCGGTTCAGGCTTATAGCATGTTGGGCTGAGGTTTCGGTGTTTGGGGTTTAGGCGGTTCAAGGTGTACAACCTTGAAAGTCTGACACGGTTTCGTTCAGTCGTTCAATGGGAGATCCCGATTCCGAAACCCTTTGCCGGAAAGTGCAAAGCCACGCAGCCCCAACGAAGTCAGTATGGGAGTGTCAGATACGAACAACCCTTACGTCCAGCCTCAACGTGCCTCCATAGTAGGATACCTACTATAATCACCGTAGTAGGACCTCCATAGTAGGATACCCATTATCATCACGGTATATAAGAGTACCCCCTTTGCAAGATACCTTTAATATAATCACCCTAATCACCATCAGGCCTAGGAGACCTACAGCTTCAGGCCTTCGGATCCAAAGCTATGGTCACTTCTTTTCCACGTCTGCGCCTTCGGGGTGCTGCTAAGTAGTCTCTACCAGTCCCTAAAGTGCCTAGTTCGAGCAGGTTGAAGCTTTGGAGGTGGATCTATCCCAAACCTGGCAGGCTGAAAGTTGAACACCGCAGACCCAAACCCCAAACCCTGAACCTTCTGTTGGGAGGCGCTCAACCCTCGATGGGAAGCATCTCCCTTCGTCTTCGAGGACCGATCCGGTACTGATCGCAGAGTCTTGCCCATGGATGCTGTGGAGCACCGAGTTCTGTCACAGAGTTTCTTACCCAGTCCTTGCGATAATGGTTCGACATAGGAGCCTATTAATCAGCAGAATAGGTTCGACCTTTAGGGGAATATTCTACCCTTGTTATGTTCAGGACGTTAAGCGGGGGTATTATTACTTATCAATCCGGGCGCTATCTTCCGGTGCATCGACTTCAAAACTTGAAGAAGCGAATTCAGGAGGATTGCCGGTGCTGCTAAGGGCCGTGAGGGGTCACGACGTAGCAAGTACTCAACCTCTGTGCATGATGGATTTGTTGGAGATGTTTCGGCAGGGAGAGAATTGCCGTTTTCGTGATCGTGTTCTAGCCCACCTTTGTACACACCTGCCTTGAAGCAAGACTTGGATTGCTCGCTACTTGTTCCTTGTACGTTGGCCAAAAGGATGATAAGCAGTCAGGCGGCAGGCAGTAGATTAATATAGGGGCCTCAATAACTCCCAACAAATACTATTGTTTGGGGGTTCCTTATCATAGCTATGGTATAAGATACCCCCAAACCCTTCTCTAACCATTAAGGCCCCTACGTTAGAGGCTTGAGAAGAGTCCCTATACACTCGCGCCCCAAACAGGCCCCTACCCTCAACCCGAAAACCCCAAACTACCGGTCCCCCAACTATGCTAAGTCAGAGCAGGTCTCCTCCAAGAAGATGGACCTGCTCCTCGAAGTTCAAAGCAGCGATGTCACCGGGGATGAGACCTTCGGCACTGTCCGGATACCGATCTCCGAGGTCGCCGTAGGTGCTCCGAAACTGTCTTCAGCGGCCTTGAGCCCAGGGGGTGGGGAGTTGCTGGGCTCTTGTTAATGGATTCAATCTACGTTACCGTAATACGGAAACCATGTTGTTTACTACAGATCCCTGTTATGGTAACTTAAGCTAAGTCACGTAACAAGAACCCAGGTTGGAGTACGAGGCCCTCTTCCAGCCCGTCGAAGATGTGGCTTCAGCCTCGCCAACGCATCCGATCCCGGGCGACGGGGGCTACAAGCGCAGCACTCTTGGCACGCAGTCCGTTGTGGCTGGGCTCACTGCAGCTATCTGGGACATGGACAAAGCCCATGTCGAAGATGCCTCCAGCTGGATTGTGTCTAGGGCCGGCGAGGGTTCCTTCCTGGTGCAGGCGAAGAAAGGTTTGGTCTGTCCCGCAGGCCATCCCATAGACAAGCGTAAAGAAGGAATCTTCTTTTTAGTTGGGTAACATTTTACATATTTTATTGGTACTTTTTCCTCATGGAATACGAAACTGTGCATGTTCATTTCTATCCCAATCCTGAGCTAAGGAATGTCTTGGCGCCAGAGTCTCCTCCACGGTGACACGAAAGACTGTGACTTCTGCCATCGTGAGATTCAGCGCACGGAGACCCGATGGCGGTGCTTCCATCACTGTGACTTCAACGTCTGTGAGTCTTGTTACGCAGCCAACAAAAGCTCGGCTACCGAGAATTGAAGGCATCGTTTAGACAATCGCTGAAGAGAAAAATGTGGCGTGGCGGCTTCGGAATGAAGTGCACGATGTGTCATTGGCAGCTGTCTGGCTTGCTGTTGCACAGTGAAGTCTGGTGTAGAATTGCCACTTTCATCTGCAAGCTGCATTCCGCATGCCCTTCGCCACACTCCATACCGGATGCTACTCGAAACTGCAAGCTGATTTGGTATTACAGCACTGAAATACTGTTGGTGTCACCTGGTTTCCTGGTGTTCAGTGCCTTGGTAGCTTGGTTACTCTTCAGATCTCTTCAGGTAAACCGCTGAAAGAGGCCATGGAAGGAACCCTTAAGGGGAACCGAACCCTACAAGGAACCCTGACAAGCGGAGCCTGCAGAACCCTAGCCGGAACCCTTACAGGAACCTTGTACAGGAACCACTTACAGGAGCCCATTCAAAATACGTAGCCCTCTGAGGAACCCTTTACAGGAGCCCTTCAAAGAGCCTTTACCCATAGGCCCCAAAGTAGTTCCTTTTTGGGGATTACCTTCTAGAGTTCTATGTTCTATATATGAACCCCCAAAAAGGAACTACTTTGGGGCCTACGGGTAAAGGAAGCCTTCATGGATGCCTTTAGAGGAACCCGTAGAGTCCGAAGAGCTCGGAGCTAAGTCGCCCGCAGGCCACAGGCGACGAGTACCGAGAGGCTTTTATCTTCAGGGCTTCAGAGTTTGTCGGCTTCTGGGGTGTAGGGATATAGGCACGCATGCATACATGTGTTTGTCTATAACTTATACATAACATATATGTACTAATGTTTGTCTGTATGTATTCGTGCATGTAATGTGTATGTACGCAGTGCTTCCATGATGCAAGGCAGTTGACCGGGGCAGCAGGTCTTCGTGCTTGCTGCTGAACGAGTGTTTGGAGTTTCGGGTCTCAGTTCAGTTTCAGTATTCAGGCTCCGGCATACTGGCCCGATTCTTACTACAAGAAAATCTTCAGAGGAGATTTCAATGTTGGCCGCAGCCCCCCTTCACCGCTCCCCTTTTCTCCCCGGAAGGGAAGGTTATAAGTAGGTTATAATTAGGATAACCCTTCTTAGGCGATTTATAAGCCCAATTATGACCTACTTACTAAGTCTCATGAGCCTTTAAGTGGCTGGGCTGAGCAAGGCCTTCTCTGTCCCTAAGCCCTAAGCTTCAGGCTATCGGGTTTCGGGGTGCAGCGTGCGGTTTCGATCGGAAGATGCATCGGATGCCTGTGTCAGGGCTGCTTACACCTTAACCTCCCAAAACCTACTTGTTTGTAGGGTCCCTATATTTCCATATTTGGGCTTATAATAAGAACCTACAAAAAAGTAGGGTTTGGTAGTTTAATCGGTATGAATGGGGGGTCCGCCATTTGGGGTTCAGTCTGAGCCTGGGCGTCCGGAGTTTTTACGTTGCCCTAACAAACCCCTTAGCCCAGGAACTCTCGACACACAGCTTTATACCCGTACTTCCTATGTCTTCCAAAACCTTAAAACCTTTTGTAGACCCTCATAGAATGATTCTGGAAACCTCTGAAAAGCCCTATAGTAGCCTCACTTACTAAGTCAGCTGGTCCTGCCTACTATTTAGGGTACTATATTAGGGTCCCCTATTTTCGGAAACTCCTAAATCCTGATAAACTCCTAAGACCCCAAGCAGTTCAGGAAATGGGCCGACGTGGCCTCAGCGTCCTCGCCAGCTCAGTGGCTGACATTTGGTCCTCGCCGCCGGTCCTTGTTTATGGCCTCGGGGTTTAGGCTTTGGGGTTCAGAGTTCTACGATGTTTTGGCTTTAGGGCATGCGGGCTTTTATAGTCTCAAGGGGATAACGATTTAGGCCTTTCGGGATGTGGAGTGCTAGGGATGGAAGTTCAGGGCTTTCGGGCTTTACGGCTTGTGTTAAGGCGTTTGCGTCGCAAGCACTGAGGGGTTCGAGTTCTGCGCTCCTTGACATGCGCATCAGTACCCCCTATACTACCCTATACGCCCCCATGAACACTGCTGCACCGTAAAATCCTCGATTGGCTCATCAAATATCATATGGTGGGGATTTCACCCACAGGGTCCAAACTGCAAGTGCCAGATAATAGAGTGCCGGGGTGTAGGATAGTAGTACTTTCAGGTCGGGTTTTCTGACAAGCAGGATAGTGAGTACTTAGCACTCGGACTCGTCGTCCTCGCAGTAAGTTTTAATCAGAGTTGCAAGTGAATTGTCCGTGTCGTGAGGTCTTGTACCCTTCTAAACAGACCCCTTGCAAGCGGGACTGAAACCCCCCAGGCCTTTTCACCCCAAAGTGTACACCCTCAAAGCCCGGACCCCTTGAACCCCTAAACTAAACCCTAGGATGCCCAGTAGTACCCTTATTCCAATTTTGTAGTCCTGGGTTCCTTATAAAGTTACCCAATACCATAATGGTTACTGGTCTTCCTAGAACCTCTACCTATAGTCTCCATTGTAGTTTTTTTGGTTCAACCAATTTTATATTAAGGATCCTAAAAGGTAATTATATTAAGGATCCTAAAAGGTAACTACAAAAAGGAACTACAATGGAGACTATAGGTACATCCCCCGAATGATCCTGATCCGAGGAAGGCAGATGTGAGCGACTCAGGAGCCTGGGAAGCTGAAGCAATGCCTCTTGTGGCGTCTGTTTTTTTCTTAGGATTGCTTTTGGTTTTGGATTTATAGGGTTTCGGATTTAGGGTTTATAAAGGGTTTAGGGTTTTGGATTTAGGGTTTAGTGTTTAGACACAGGATTTAGTTTTGTGAGTTATTCGGCTAATTGGGGTTTAATCGGTGGCTCTGAACATGGAGCGCGCTTGCTTCGGAATCCTTGCCACAAGAGCCCCGTATTCTCCGCTAGGATTTAGACTTTGGGCCTTTTTCGTATGTATCTTTTAAGATTTTTGAGTCTTAAGATTGAGGCCCTATCCTTGAAGGATCTGATCTCTGCAATCGTCTTGGGGATCACATGTGAAGTCGCAAAAACCCGGAGAAGATTCCTCATCGAAGGGCTGACAAGGAAATCGAAACACCGCATCACCGTCAAACCCGCAACCCTGCAACCCTAAACCCTAAACCCAAAACCCAAAACCCTAAACCCTAAACCCAACTCTCGGAAACCCTGAGCCCTAAACTCTTGAGCCTCCAACCCTAGGCCCCTAAAATTTACAGCTCTTAAACCTTGAGCCCTACCTAAACCGTTGTACCCCAAGCCATAGACTCTTAATCCCTGTAGATCCTTTAAACCTATACCCTGAAGAGCCTAAGCCCCGGACTCTTAAACCCAAAAGATCCCTTAAGTCCCAGACCCTGAAACCACTAAGCCCAAGACTGTTAAACCCTAAAGCCTAAACACAGAACCCTGTACCCTAAACCCTAAATCCTAATCTTCTGGCCGTCATAGTCATAGCCTTGGGGATGCTCAGAGGATGGGCAGATGCCAAAAAGGAGCTAAAAACACAACCTAAACCCTAAACCCCACACCCTTACCCTAGGGCTCCAAGTATACAAATAGTACCTACTTTGGAGCCTAAAGTCCATAGATAATACCTACTTTGGGCTATTTGGAGCCCCAGGGTTACATAACCCACACAGAAGCCCTCTACATCCGCCTCAGCTCTTCGGCCGAATCAGGTTTGTCGGAGCGCCCTTCGACTCCTGGCGATCGCCTCCATGGAGGCGCCTGGGGGTTCCTTTTGAGGTTCTATAACCCCAAGGGTCCAAAGGACCCAATAATTAAGTACTCGGTCCTCGGTTTTAGGATAGTAGTTCTGCAGGTTAGGATTTTGGAGAGTATATGATTATTAGGTACCCTTGGGGTAAGGGTGACTAGAATTACGAGAACGGTCCTGGTCCGTTTAAAGGGTTCCTTTCAGGGTTCTACATTTTTCAATACGGGTTACTAGAATTACCAGGAGGTTCCTTTGAAAGGGTTCCTTCAAGGGTTCTATCAGGCTTACTATAAGAGCTTAGTATAGGGTTTAGCAAAGTTTAGCACCCTGATAAAAAAGGAGCCTAAACGGGACCCTGCTTTAGAGAACTGCCCATGTCGGGTTCCTTCAAAGGCTTCTACAAGGGCTACGAATTATACGTATTATCAGGGTGATAAAGGGTCCTTGAAACAGATCTACCAGGTATCAGGTTTTCTATGAACGTTCCTCTCAAAGGGTTTATCCGGGTTACTTTAAAGGAGCTTACTATAGGATTGAAGAGTTTGGGGTTTAGGACTTTAGGGGTATTTAGTACCCTAAACTCTAAACCCCTACAGGGGTTGAGGGGTTTCGGCTTGAGGATTATGAGGCTTTAGGGTTTCGGGCTTTAGTTTTCAGAGTTTCAGTAGGATTCAGGGTCATGAGTCATGAGATACGGGGTGACCCGAACTGTAACTATAGCGACTTGACCCATTAAGTTGTTAGTATACTAGCCTGTTATGAGTTCGCCACTGAGCAAGCGGCAATTACCGAGTGAGCTGATTTAGCCAGGCATTGCAAACAAAATATACCTACGCCTAACATCACCTGGTAAAGCCTGATGGTGGCACGAGGATGATCGCAGTGGTGCTTGCATGATAACCATGACTATGGGAAGCAGGAGTGTATTTGCTATCCGCATCATCTTTCGGAAACCAGCCACTGGCACCAAATAGCGCATGCGGGGACATGGACAGACAGTCTTTGCTTGGGCGATTGATGTCCTGCCTAGGGATTGCAGTGTGTGCTGTCTATCACGTCGTTACCGTCGGGATCATGTTTCCTTGCTTTGAGGTTTAAATGTATATAGACCCCAGTTGCATCGTAGCATCCTTAACATATCCCATGAAGATCCCCATAAGACGTGGTGGGCATGGATCGGGATATTGTCACACCCTGGCCCTCCCTAAACCCTAAACCGCCGTCTTGAACATCGCTCGGCGTCTCAGCTTCCGTAAGCGGCCTATAGGGAAAGCCCCACACTCGGCCCACGCTGCCCCCACGGCAATCGAAAAGGAGCCTCAGTTTTTCAGGCTTAAGGTAAGGTTTAGGGTTGAAAGAATGTGCCTCAGATCCCTCCTCTGGCTTAAACAGGGCCTGGAATCCACCATGAACCCCCCCTTATTAACCCCACAAGTATCTGGAAAGATCATGATCAGGATCATGTGAAGGTGGCACCAACGCTAGATTTGCCTTGGGGTAATCCTCTTGGTCGCTGAGCTTTGTAGCACAGCCCACAGGAGCATTATCATCGAAATGGGGGCGGCTCAGTTCCCTTGTGCGATCCCTGCTGCACTCCCATAGTTCGAAAGTTGGTAGATATCAACTCAAACCCACATCGTCATGACTTCATCAGGACAGACAGCTTAGGAGTAGTTGCCAGTGCAACATAGCTTTGCGATTGGCGCCGCAGCAGCTGCCATGGGCGTGGGCTTGGACCAGGCTGTTTCGAACCTCAATCTGCTAAAGTAGTAGTGTAACACTGCTTCATTTGCCAAGGCCCCCACATTACAGACGTTTTGCAGTGTGGGCTTTCCACGGAAAGAGCAGGTTTCAATAGAGTATTTGCCTTGGGGCGCTGTTCCGAAAGGGGTCTGCAACAGTTGTATCAGTGGTGTATACAGGGTGGGAAGGTTCGGCAAGGTTCGGTCGTTGAGAATACAGTGTCTTTCAGTCTGATTTTTTTCCTATCCCATGCAGCTCCGTGTTTTGGTTAGCCAACTGCATGGTTACGATCGCTTGAGCGGAAGCCAAGGTAACCCGAACTGGAATTTGAGTAGAGGATATGGGTTTCTGACATGAGGGGTCCCAGCCCTCGCGCTGGTCTCCGAAGGCCAGTGGCCAGCGTTTTTGGGGTTTAGGGTAAGGGTTTAGGGTTTAGGGTTCCAAAGTAAGACCCGTTTTGGGATCCTAAGTACCAAAGTCTTTCACTGAATTGAGACACTGAAGTGCAGCTCCCGGAGACAACCTTGTTTACCTCGCAGGGGTCTGGCCCTGCGCTGGATCGACCTCTTGGCAAGGCAGCTGGGTTTAGGTTTTGCATTTGTTGGTTCGGCTTTCCTGTATATGACTGTGATGATCCTTCTGCTTTGTACTATGATAGCCAGTATTGCTTAATACTGTTTATATGCATATACACAAACATATACATGTGTGTATATATATATATATATATATACATGTACATAGATATGTACCGCAGGGCTCCGGTTCCCAGAAGAACCGGTTAGTGGGTTGCAGAATATGCGATAAGTAACTTACAGTCTCTAGGATCTACACATGCTACATGTCTTTGCTTTCCTCCCCCTGTTTTGTTTTCCGTTGAGGCGGTGACATCCCTCATGCTCTGAAAGTTACAGGGGCCCTTACTGGTCTTGTTGGGTGGGTTGGCCCCCCGAAGGTTTGTACTAGTCGCCTGCGGCAACTCTTACTGCAAGGTGGAATTATCAAAAATATCAGCCCCGAACCCCAAGCCCTAAACAGCCCTAAACTCGAACAAAACCCCGGGCTTCAAATCCAAAGCTGTAAAGCCTGTGCGTACGTGCATGTTTCGGAGCTGGGGCTGCCAGCAGATCTAGCCGGAACTACGGTTGATGATAGAAACCCGGCATTATCCATAATAAGGAGCATACCATAGTTCCCATAGGGTCCTTAAGGTAATGCAGGATTTATATCATCAACCGTATCCAAGCTTTGGGTTTAGGAGTCAGCTTGACGACGTCATTGCGGAAGCAGTGATGGTAGAAGGGAGGACCAGCAGGAGAACACCAAAATAATGCAACAGCTAGCAGCGATCCGTTCATGTCCTTTTCGCTTGTTGTGCGACGTTCCGGATTTTGCACGCTGTACCTAGGAACTTTCATCATTCTTTTCGAGTCTCTAATTTCTATAGCTACATAACTGTAGCAAAGTCTTATCGCCGATGATGGATTTTCCTGCAATGCCAGAGTATTCTGGGCAGTGAAGAACACAGATGCTTGGGTCGGCGATAGTGTCGGACCGGAGAATTCTAGGACTCCCTGGTTCCTAGGCTCCCTGGTTCTTAGGACTCCCTGGTTCTGAGGACTCCCTGGTTCTTAGTAGGGGAATGGGGTAATGGATCCCTATGATAGCCCAGAAAGGTCCCTTTCCCTACTCAGAACCAGGGAGAGGAGGCACTGCAGCGATTCTCTGCTCAACATGTGTAAATCACGGCGTTTGGGTGTTGGCATCTCTGGAGGTACCACCCGGCTTCCTCAAAAACTTCTGCCCCTCCTCAACATGCTGCCTGGCAGTGCAGTCTGAGTGTTTCAAGGGCTCTTCATCCTGGTACAGGTTATGGTGGATCAAGTTGTCGAGTATGGAGTCACAGGGTTTCCCTGAATTTTGGCTTCCAAAGCCAGGAAACGGTGGCAGGCTATCCTTGTGGTTTTGGTCTTGATGCTTTTGTCCTGCATTCCTTCGCGATGCCATGCAAGTGTTGGTCGGCAAGTCGAGAAGGGAGTCCCTCAGCTCAGTCCCCATCGGACCCCGAAATTGGCCAAGATACACTTCTGTCGAGGAGTTCTACAATTCCCTCAACTCGAAGCCCTAGTCAGATAAGCCCCAAAGCTCTAATCCCTAAACTCTTAAGCCCGAATCCCTAAACCCCATATCCTACACCCCTAAACCCTAAACCCCATATCCTACACCCCTAAACCCTAAACCCTAAACCCCATATCCTACACCCCTAACCCTGGGCCCCATCTCCATCAACCCCGTATCCTAAAACCCCCAGGCTCCTCCTTCGACTCCACCACCACCACCGCCAGCCTCGCCAGCCGGCCCAAACCCTCTGCGAGCCCGCGCCCAGGCAGGGAGGTGGCCGAAATGATATCCTTTCAAAGCCCGATGCTAAAAGTACATACATGACTATGAATGTATGTGTATAGCTGTATGTATAAATATAATATAACGTAGCCTATATAGCACACAATGTATACACACACCTATGTGCATATCTATACATATATCTATGTATGTATATATGTATGTATGTATGTTTGTATGTATGTATATATCCGTGCATACATACATACATACATACATACATATGTATATATATATATATATATATATTTATATTTATTTACTTATATATATATATATTAACATACCACAAAACCCTTTTCCAAGTGACGAGGTGCCTTTAGGTAGCCAGTCGGGCACATGAAGCCTTGCCTCCCAAAATGCAGCTCAGAATTACACAACTCGCATGTAAGGGGGCTGTCCGATAGGGTTGAGGTGGTCCTCAGGTCACAAGCCATCGCTTATGGACTGAACAGGTAGTACAGGGTCTGAATTATCAGTACGCGGGTTCCTCGCCTGATGATAAAGCTAAGCCCTAAACCCTTATAAACCCTAAACCCTTATAAACCCTTATAAACCCTTATAAACCGTAAACCCTAAACCCCTAAACCCTCACCCGTAAACCCTTTTTGGGGCTCAGCGTCGAGGCTTCAGTTCTAGGGCTCATGGTTAAGGTTTGAAGGGCGCAGGAGTTAAGGCCCAGGGTTTAGGCTTTTGGAGTTTAGGCTGTAGGGTAAAGTGGCTGAAGGACTGTGAAGGAAGGGGTGATGGGCTTCTGGGGACTCTGAGGCTTCGATTGAACATCTTCGGCTGGAGGGTCGGGTTCATTCTAAGATTCAGGTTTGGGTTTAGGTTCGATGTGGGGAGGCCGGGTACTTAGGTGTGTGCAAGGGAGCGGGCTCCTCCGAAACGCCACAGTGGGCCCTATCCTCCTAGACTTTTAAGCGCTGTAATCCTGTTAATCCTGAACTGTATCAAGCGGAAATCATAAACCTCCAGCTTTCCTGCTCCAGACGCGCGACCTCGGATGACCGCCATTCCTGAGTGCCGCACAGCACAGGCTCGACAACCCGGAGCTGGAAAGTCCTAAGTCAAGCTTAGACTGAAAGCGTCAACAATACCTGGACCCCCCAAACTATGTAGAACACCGGGTATTCGGCCACTATTTTACCATATTTTACCTACAGATGCGGGGGTGCAGGTACGCGCTCCAAGTTTGTACGGTTTACGATGTATGCAAAGGTACTGTGGGTAGGTAGCTAGTTAGGTAGATAGGTTGAGCCTCAGGCAATGCAGGGCTAGGTGTAGGTGTGTGTAAGTGCAGCTCACAGAAGCCGGAACCCATTTGTGAGGGCTGTTCGGTGGTTTATGCTAACCCAGCACAAGACAATGCCTTCCTGAATTTCATTAATAATGCACAACCTTGATTTTCCAAAGTAAACTCAGATTCCTTCAGGGGCCGTGGTTCCTGATTGTTTCGAAGGTGCACAGTTTGGTCCACACGCAGGGGCCCTCGCCCTTGAGACCACCAGGCAGGGAAAGGTTTGGGGTGTGGGATTTAGTGAAGGGATTTAGGGCTGTAATAAGGTAAGGGATTTAGTTATGGGATTTAGGGTTTTAGTTAAGGCATTTAGGTTTTTTTTTTGTGGGAAAGGCTTCAGTAGGTTAGGCTTTAGTTCAGGGTTTAGGAGTTCAGAGATTAGTGGCTTAGGCAGTTTCCTCACGTTAAGCCCTTCTGGAAAAGCAAACATCCCTAAATGGGAGTTTACGAAAATTAGGGGTACCTTATTTGGGGGTCCTTATAATAAGGATCCTACTATTTAGGGTACTATATTAGGGCCCCCCTGTTCTCGGAAACTCCCAAACCGACGCATGGCTTCGTTGTTTAGTCAAGTTTGTGTTCACTGTTTATGGCTTACGGCTTAAGGCGCTTAGGGCTCGGAAACACGTGAGGGCCCATCGAGGAACCGTACCAGTGGCCCCAGAATCCCTCGAAGCCTCAGCCTTAGCAGCACCCAGCCTCCCTCGAAGAGCAGAGCCACAACACCCGAAACCTGCCTGAAAATCCAGGCCTGTCTATGCCACGCTCTGCTGAAGCCTCTGTACCGGTTTAATGCTCTACAAGCTGTACCCAATAACCAAGACCTGAGCCCAGGGCAAAGAAAGCAAGCCGTTGCTTTACCGTGCAGACTTTTGTAGATGCCAGGCCGACCGCTCCTCGCCAATGGCTTAGTCTCCGGCGGATGTGGTGCTAGACAGAGTGCATGAGAGCTGTCAGGATTTTGAAGTGTCGGGTTACTGTAGGGTGTAGGCTTAAGATGAACAGCCTCCGGAACGCAGTCGTTCAGCACGTGGAATAGTGAGCACTATAGAAGGCCTTGTGGGTGCATTTCGGAGGTGCTGCTGGGAGCATGTCTGGAGGGAGGAATGCTGATCGCGCCTCATGTCGTTCCTCTATCTCCTCAGGTTCCCCCATGTCCGCACCTCTAATATAGGGGCTTAAATAATTATCAATATTATTGTGGGGGTTCCTTATTATCATTATAGTATAACGGGCCCCCGAAACCCTATTCTAATTATCAAGGCCCCTACATTATTGTCACAGCTTCCGGGTTCGATTCTGTGTCCTGGCCATGCCACGCATAGACTCGTAGAGCCGAACCCTAAGCATCTCCAAATCCAAAAGACGCCACAGCACCCTGTGGAGCCACTACAACCACTGAAGTGCACCACACTTCCTTCGTTTTGTTTCCCGACTCCGCCGCTAGGACAGAAAGAATTCATGTGCAGCACTGACTCTTTGGGTAGGCGGTTGGCAGATCGGCACCCATTCAAGTCCTCAAATTCTAAATCCTAGTGTTGATTGTGAGAACAAAAGTAGAAGCAGTAGTAGTATGAAGAGCTTGTTCGCATGATGTCTCCAATGCGATCCTGTCTGGCGGTAGCTAACTCGCACTCTAGCACTCTGTCTTCTTAAGTTTGCCTTGGCTTCTCCAGCTCCCTTGTTCAAGTCTTAATCGTAGCCTGTCGTCTGCCCGTTACCTGTCCCGTCGTTCACTCGGATGTCTGTGGTGATGGTTTTGCTGTAATCGCTTCCTGTCTTAGTGCCAGTGCATGATTGTCACTAACTACTCACTACAAGTGACTTCGCTGGACTAACTGAGAATGCATCGACAGCCCGGCCACATTGCTGGGCTGAACTAGCCTGTGCAGCCTGGAAGTCGAGAAACCTGGCGAACGTCTGCCGTCAATACGCCTGCAATCTAGTCTAATATAGAGGGCTTGATTAATTGATACGTTTTTGGTGCTTCCTTATTACAGTTATAGTATGATATAGCCCGAAACCCTATTCTAAACTATCAAGGCCCTGTATTGCTCTCCCACACTGCCAGAGCCTATTGAAGCTCAGTTTCTTTTTCCAAGGCAGACGGGCCACCCCCGAGGCCCGGGGACCGGTAATCAGAGCTTATCGACGTAGGAAAGGTTTAGGGTTTAGGGGGTTTAGGGGGTTTAGGGTTTATGGTTTGGGGTTTAGGGACAGGGGGTTTGGGGTTTAGGTTTACGAAGCCGTGGTCCTTGCGGAAGTAGCCTTGGAAATCGTGCGACAGCTACTTTTGCCAGGGCCTGTCAGTCGACAGCAGTTGATGCAACCCTCCACTTACCGTAGCTCAGCGTGGATATTACAGAAAGTGTCCCAATACTTGCCCGGCTTTAAAATTGGTCGTTTTTCCGGAATAATACACTACAGGCCCCGTCGTCTTCACATTCCTGAGGCAGTCGGCGGTGTAATCTAAGAGGCCGAATGATTAGTAATGCATAGTAAGACCATTCCTTCTTGCCTCATTGTAACCTGAGCCTGATATTCTCCAAAACCCTCTGAAAACCATGAAGGTCCCAACACCCGGGTCTAAACTACAAGCCCGTGCTGGTGGTTGTCAGGAGCTGGACTGTGCAGGTTTTGGGCCATGGGGAACAGAGCGCTTAGGAAATTTGAGATTCAATTTCTTTTGGGCACCCTCCGGATGTAGCACCATCTCCGAACAGCTGCAAGTTGTCAACTCGTGCAGTTTGTTCCATGTGCTGATGTTCCGTAAGCTGTAAAGCAGCATAGTAGCAGCCGCCACACGGCGGCAGTCGTGGTCAACAGTGGGCAAGCAGCAGGTGCCAATTGGGCAGCTCTAAGCGATGTTACGACCGCATTGCCCAAACCACTCCGTAATTGCTTACCATTCGCTGTTGTGTCTTTTGTTTCACAATTCCCCCTTGTGGATGAACCTGTGCCTGACTCACCAACTACAGAGTCCTAAAGATGCCTAACCTCAACCACATGACAGCCTGCACTTTCATGCGCTATAGGAGCCAGAACAGTCGATAATACTGTTCTTCAGGGTTCGCTATCAACTTATAGTATACACCAAATCCCCCAGTTCGACTTTTAAGGCCCCTATAGTGGTTCGACCGAGTCCTGCTCTGCAATTTGAGTTGAAAGCCGTTTGCAGGTTTCCGAGGCTGTTGCCCTGCAATCACGGCGCAGGAGGCGGAAAGCAAAGCAGACGTTTGTGACATAGTGGCCGGAATAGCAGGCAGCATTTTTCCGCAGGGTGTCCGACTAATCCTTCTTAGTCTTAGATTTATTGTATAGTGTATCCCCAGGTCCCTTTGTAATTACTAAGGCCCCTACAGTAACGGCTTCGAGACCGGAAGGCTTGAGATTGAGACTGTCAGGCTCTTCGACTTCCTTGTCTCAATCGTGGCTTCAGAACAGAGAAAATTCCTTAAATCTCTGAACCTCGAAACCCTAAACACATTGGCAAAGCCTTTGCCAAGCTGTTCTCCAGGCTTGAGGCTCGTTGCATGATGACCGTACGATCGACAAGCATCCAGATGTCTAGGTGAAACCGCAAGTCTGGACCTCTGGGCCGTGGCAAACATAATTGTCAAAATTATGGTCCCTAATTGGGTACCCTAAATATTAGGTGCCCTATTATATTAAGGACCCAAAAAGGGACCATTATTTTGACAACCACCCATATATGCACTGGTACGAGTGCGTCACGTCCCATTAAACTCTATCAAGGCTTCGGCGGCACTTGCAAGGTAGTGGTAGTTGTCAACGCGTAATAGTACTGATACCAGTACTCAGTCTACTTGTAGATTTTGTAGTAGTACCGCAGCAGCGGGCATCCGGCGTGCACTAACATAGGCCCAAAACCTCGAAGCCACTGAACACTGATTACTATACATCCTACACCTAACAGGCCTTATGGTATCCCCTGTTATGGTAGCAGGCCCCGGGAGGTCTACTTTTCCACTTTGTCCGTCCTTCCGGGAGTCTGCGTCCCGCCGGCAGGAGGTGCTGCCCCCTTCCTGGCTGCCGCCGGAAAGCCGTCTGCTGTCACCCCACTCAGGCGCCCCGCAGGGAGCTGTAGGGATTGGTGGGCCTGGTTGATTCTCTGTGTCGCCGTGTCACTGTCTAAGCTGTGAAAGCATACTATGTATGTATGTATGTATGCATGTACTGGCTATGCCAACTTATTCCAATAAGGGGTGCCAGTGCTATCCCTATTGTATGTGGCATGGCTTGTGTTGTCTAGTGTTGTCGTTGTTGTGCTAGTTCATTCGCTGTGATACGGTGCACCACCACATGTCTGGCGTTTGTAGGTGTTTTGCAATTTTGCTGCTTGCCGTGTTGGCCTACACCCGCCGTGTGTTTCTAGAGGTTGCAGTTCTTTGTACTTTTGTGCACTTGCTGTGATTCAGTACTCGACTTTTCGTTGGTTCATTCATCGGTTGTTGTAGATTGGAAGAATTTGGGACATTTTACATTTTCCCTCATTGGGCTTAAGAAGCTCTTACTTACTAATATGATTCAAAGGCTTTAAAATTGAAAGGATGCAGGTATGAGCCACGCTCATTGGTTTGCCCTCTTCTTTCGACAGTGGTGCCGTGGGAGTAGGGTTTAGGGACGATTTCGGAATGCTTGTGTGGTAAAGTTGGAGTTTGCCTGGGCATACTTTGGATCATCTGTTCAGGTGCAGTTTGTCCGGGGTGCGAGGATGCGACTGTTGCAGTTCAACCTCCCCAAGTTCTTCTTCTGTGTTTCATGTAGACAGACAAAGATACCTACATGCATAGATTGTCATTGTCTCTGTCTCTCTGTCTATCCACCTATGTGTGGCGATCTCTATCTCTATATCTAGCTCTAAATCGCACGTACACAACACATGCGAATGGCTGCAATTTGTGCACGATTCTTTTCTGCTGATAGATCTTGTAGACTGCTGACTAGGGTTTGAAGTTGAGGGTTTCCTGAATACGAGCGGACGTGCTTGTTGCCTACTCTCTCTGAGCGTGAATGAGCCGAATTCGGACCTTGAAAAAAGACACCCCCAAACAACAGCGGTAATCCAAAAAAAACCTCACAGCGCCGCGGCCCGAAAAGGGAACTTCAAATCCTAGGCCTCTGAATCCCCGTAACTCCCTCAAATCCTGAACCTCAAATCGCCCAAGCCTTAGACCGTTAAGCCCTGCCCTGATCCCTGAACCTTACACCCACCCCTCAATCATAGGATGCGAAAGGGGTTTTAGCCTATGGGGGTTTAGATGGGTTTAGTAGGAATTAGGGTTCCCGTAGTAGGGCCTAGGGTTCATATTATTAAGGAATCCCTACCCCAAGAATCTTAAGGCCCCCGCTTTGTTGGCCTCCCACCCCTCAAGCTCGGTGCGGAGGCCCCGTGATGTGGTCCGTGCTCGCTCGGCCCCTGCAGGTGCCTCTCTGACTTCTTGGGCACCAGGAGGCTCCATAGTAGTTCCTTTTTGAGGTTCATATGTAGAATCCTACAAGGTAATCTCAAAAAGGAACTACTATAGAGCCTATGGGTAATAATAAGATATAATGCGGAAAGCAGTATTGTGTACTCCAGGTCCCGAGCCCCTAGCATAATAACTTTTAAACTATGATTCCTGAACAAGAACGCAGCTTACGGCTGAGGTTTCATTGGTGTGAACTACACAATTTCGTGCTGTGAGACCTTTGTCAAGTCATTTTTGGCTTTGTTTAGGCCCTTTTAGGGTTTAGGGTCGTTGAGGGCTTTTTCATGGCCTCAGGAGTTAAGGTCTCACAGGTTTGATGGTTGTAGCGTTCTGTAGGCTTCGGAGCTTTTGGGGCTTAGCTGCGAAGCTTCCAAAAATCCTTAGAAAAAGCCGAAGCCTATTCCGAAACGCAAGGAACCCCGCCCAAGGTTCCATGTATGTGTAACGTCATATAGTATGTATATCGAACCTGGTCTTACTAAGGGGCTCGTTTACGGCTACATGAAGGCCAAAGCACTTACGACACAGGTAACACAGAGGCCTGAATCACTACTCATATTCGTCCTTAGGGGTTCCTGAATTCAAAAATACACCGCAATATCCCGCAACGCCCTGCTCTAACCATTAAAACCGCTAGGATAGTAGGACACTAAACCCAGCAAAAACCCGTGAGCCCTTAGACTCTGAATTTGGGCTCTTGGCAGGGCATCGCCCCTCTCAAGGGAGCCTCGGTGCTGGGCTCAGATGAGTATTTATCGAAGCAAGGGTTGTGTGTTTTTGTTGTCCAGCGATTATGTTGGGTTGTTGTTTTGTCAACTGCTTAGGGAGCTAGTTGGTACTGTCTGGGGTTCCAGGCTCAGCGAACATGGAGTGACCATGAAAGCCGAAGTGAGCCTAAACATTGAAACCTGAAACCTTGAACCCTGAACTGTAAATCTGGAACCCTAATCCCTCAGCCGGTGGTCACCTTTCTTTCAGCTTTTGGTGTTTCTGGATTCAGAGCAATGCTATCAAAACAAACATCATCTTACTCATGCTTACGTACATAAATGCAGCATTGAATGCATCCATGCACACATGCCTGTGTTTGGATACTTGAGTTGCGCGTGTTGATATTTATCGCTTGGCAGGATAAGTTCACAGTAGAGTCGGGCCCAGGAAGTCTAGCTCAAAGCTGCATCTATGAAGCCAAAGCTATAGTTGGACCCTGCCTGAAGCCCATGCACTGTAACCTCAACCCCTCGCCCATGAAGTTCAACCCCACCAAAACACCCCACCTTACCACCCCCGCGAAGCTTGAAACTCTAAACTCCACAAAAACTCTTGAGCTCTAAGCCTGCGCCTGCAACCATACACCGACATGAATTTGTAAAAATGCAGAGCCAACCATGAACCCGACAACCCAAAGCCGTGGCAGTTCATAAGTGGAGCGCTGTGCTTCGGGGCTAGGAAAGCAAGGCTTGGTAGTTTAGGGTTTGGGGTTTTGTAGGGTTTTCGGTTCGTAGCCCGACATCTTAGAACGTTCAGAGCCATCCTTCACAGCTAGCCCTACACTGCAAAAAAACAAAAACCCTAAACCTTATCTCTAACCGCGAGACCCTAAAGCTTAGACCCCTGCAGCCTGAACCCTGCCTTTTGCCGTAATTTTACACGGGGCTTGATATTTAGAAGCCGGTTTCGGCACATGCTATAGTAGAATTCGTATAGAGTTGCAGGGACTAGAAGAGTACCCAACACCCCAAACCCCTACAGACTGAGCCGAAAACCTGCCTTAAGTCAAAGGGGAAAAGGAGGGACCCTCAATGGGGACCCCTACCCTATAATGGTCCAAACAATGGGTACATAATAGCTATATTAAGGGTATATACCTAGGGGTCCTTATTAAGGGTCCCTCCTTTTACCCTTGGATTAAGTCGACGACTCCACCCACATCTGTTTGTGATCGCATTTTGCCTGGTCGTGTCGTCTCCTCACAGGTAGAGCCGACCAGACAAGGACTGTGCGGTTTAGGCTTCTTTCGTTTTAGAACCCCTTTTCTGGGTTTAGGCATGGCTAGGCTTTAAAGATTCGCGTTGTAGGGTTTGAGGCTCACAATTTAGGGTTTAGGGTTTGGGGCTCAGTAGACCCGGAAGCCTACCTGCAAACCATACGCCCTCAGCCCTCTGACCCCCTGCATCATGTCAAGATGAAGGCATAAACTCCCCAACAGTACCGAAAATTGTTATGGCTTAGGGTTTGATATCCTCCTGATTTCCCTATATGTTAACAGTTGTATAATGTAGGATAGCATCAGATACCCTAAACGTTCTCGTGAAGCGTTGGACATGTTGAGCCCCAATGCCATATGAAGCTCAAGAGCCCCGAACACGAATTGAAAGCTCCAACTGGCTCAAACCCAACCCTATTCCTTCAATGCAAGGTGTAGGGTTTAAGCCTCCACGACTGACTAGACCGCAAAGCTTGAACCCGAAAGTTTAAATCCTTATACCTGGACCTGAACCGTCACACCTTCCTTGAATGTGTAGGTACGCTCTAGCTCTCCTGATTCTCGTGGATATTCCGTGCAAAACAAAAGCGAGACCCCACCGGTCCGAACGTTTAATCGGCTCTGAATTGAAAGCAATTTTGGTGGTGCTTTCCGGTTCAGGGTTTCTGTCGGGCTTCGGGGCAGGATTTCTGATCGAGCTTTATGGTTTCGGGTTCGGGACACCCGACACCCTAAGCCTTTTTGGGTCTTGTTGCCGGGGTTTCGGTCGAAGGGCTGAGCCTCCGAAGGCTTTCGGAACAAAGAAAGACAGAGGCCTCAATCGTCAGTAGTCTAGACTAGCATTCTTCAGATTTCCCGATGACTCAGGTCTCTGCATGTATAATTCCTATATCTGAAAACCCTGCCTTTTGCCAGACGCACAAACAATTGCAGGACGTTCGGCAGAGCCTGACGTTTGGCAGTGTGGAAACCCGACGTGCGGCCGCAGCCGAGCTGTCCTCACCGGGGGACCCTTTCGTTATCGAGTGGGAAGTCTGCAGGGTTGGAAGAAGCGTCCTCCAGGGCCCCACACCCTGATATAGGGGCTTAAATAATTACCAATGCTATGTTGGGGACGATTCAGCGCCTGGGCTTCGGGGTCACCATCGCCTCCGTTGTGGAGTGATTGAGAATTGTGTTGTTTCTCATGCCTTCTATCGGACATCACACACAAACAGCTCCCGGTACCACCCATCCTGCTATCGTTGTCAGTGTTGTCATGATCCAAGCCCTGGTGGCTGCAGGTGTTGCGAATGCACCTAGTCCCAGCTATGGTTGTGGCGGGATGTGTGTGTGTGTGTGTGCGTGCGCAAACTTATGCAGAAAACTATGACATAGGGTCCGAGACAATTACCAACATCATTCCTTTGGGATTTCTGGTTCCTTAGCAGCCTTAGCATGCACGTACTATAGTGCACCCCCCACACCCTACTCTGATTGTTAAGGCCCCTACCCCTACATTTCATCACGATCCCAGCTCGCTCCTTGAATAGCCTTCCGCTTGTGGTTGCGGAGTTGAAGCCTCTCTTGTGATGTTGCACGCTCCAGCCTGCAGGAATTTGCGCTTTATGGGCTGTTGGGTTTGACGGCCGCTTCTGCGAAAGACAGACAGGACCTTTTTCCGAACTTGTGGACAGGGTGGCCAAATTGCACACAAACCCGAGCCGGAGTGAGAAGAAAATCAAGAGCACGAGCAAGATCTGTGCTTTGGGAAGTTTGTTGAGTTCCTAATCCTAATCCTCCTACAAAAACACCTATTCACAGATACTCTTGGGAGACGGAAATTACTCGCCGGATAACACCATGATGTTTCCATGTTACGGTGACATAGAACAGGTAGACACATAATACTAGCAGCGAAACTATGTAAGGCTGTCTGGGCTTTGCCGAACACCCTGCACCAACATGCCACCAGGTGGGAAAAGACAGGAATGGAACCTGGCAAAGCTACAGGTTGTGTGCAACCCTTGAAACTTGAGTTGGCGTGACACGAATGACTCAAAATGGCGTGCCACGCCCACCTCAGACTGAGTCTTGGAAGCGCAGCTTGCAACACTCTGTCCGGCGGCGCGCATGATGTCACGACGCTGGCGCGGTGGTGCTGGATTCATGTCAGTTTTCGCGCTGAAGGAAATATGAGAGACGATCGTAACAGCAGTGCATGACACCATACCTACTAACCCCCGCTGTTGACTTACATTGATTTCCTTCCCGAGGAACTTGGGGGTTGCTCTATGTTCTATACATCTTCTACAGAAGTCCGACTCACGGTTGCATCTTGTACATACTATGTTTCTGCTGGAATGCTGACGCAGAAGGGAATGTCCAAGGGTACCTTAATAAGGACCCCTAGGTATATACCCTTAATATAGCTATTATATATACCCATTCTATGGCCCATTATAGGGCAGGGGTCCCAATTAAGGGTCGCTCCTTTTCCCGTTTGAGAATGGAGAACCGGAGCAACCCCCTCTTTGCCAGCGGGTAGCTGCGTATTTAAGCACAGGACACAGCTGATCAGAAGCTCGGCCGGCCGGTCTGCTGCAAAAGTATAGGGCCTTAACAGTTTGGGTATAATATATATATATATATATATATATATATATATATATGTACTATTATATTTATATTTATATTTATATTTATATCTATTTATTTATACTTGTATGTATTTACAGTTATTTATATTTATTTATGTATATTTACTATAGGTACTCGAATCTTAAGGATCGTCAAAAAGCACTAGCGATTCTGGCTTCTCCATTGTTTCTTGGACCCGGGCTTGGGATTCAGAGCTTGAAGTCCGGAATATTGTGTTCAGGAGCTGGAGTTTAGGATTTTAAAGCACACTAACCTACAGCCCAAACACCTTGGGCCCCTAGGCCAAATCGACAGTTTTTGCCGATAACTGCTTGCGGCTTGCGGGCTTCTGTGATGGTGCGGCGCTGAAATCGCGAAGCAGAGTGGCATGTGAAGGGTAGTTCTTCAGCTCCATTTTGGAACCTCAAAGGAGTACGTCGCTCTTTTGGCAAGGATGCCAAAACGGGGCCAAACCAGCTGCCTGCGTCCTTCAAATTTGAGAGAAACCAGGGCTGAGCTGATCAGGGTAAGGGCAACTGTAGTCTTTGTGGAAGCAGAAAATCCACGACCATGTCCGGTTTTGGTCTTTTGCTCTGCCGACGGACTTGGCACACCCCTTGTGTTGGTCTGCTGGCAAAGTTGTCACGGATGTTTTAACCAGGACCTGGCGCCACATAGACATAGTTAAGCCTCAATCAGGCCTGGATCCCTGTAATTTCCGCGGATTCATGTCGCGGCACTTCCGCGTGGTTGTAGGGGTGATGGCAGTAGTGGTTGTAGTAGGAGCAGTTGTCGTCGTCGGGGGTTGAAGGGGGGGGGAGGGGGGGGAAAAGGGTGGGGTTGGGGGTGGTGTGGGTGGTCATGGTAGGTAGTCGTGGTCGTGTTGGTCGTGGTGGGTAGTGAGGTAGTGGTGGTACTGGTGATGGTGGTGGTGCTGGTGGTGGTGGGGTGGTAGTGGCAGCGGTGGTCGTGGTGGAGGTGATGGTAGTGACGTTGGTGTTGGTATTGGCGATAGTACTGGAAATTACTTGTCGTGGTGGCACTGGTGGCAGTCGGGTAGTGGCGGCGGCAGTTGACGTAGGATTGGGAGGATTGGGACCAGTAGTGAGTAGGGGTAGTAATTGGAATATTTTATGGCGAATAGGTGTAGGAGTATGTAGCTACATCAGGAATAGCAGCAGGAGCAGTTGTCGTTACCTTAGCAGCAGGAGTGGTATTCAGAGTCATTGTCACATTCGCAGGCATCAAATCTGAGCATGATGCTGCTTACGAGAAAACTTGTGTTTTCTTGTCGCGGAGTTCCAAAACCTAAGCGAAGAGGCCTGAACCCTAAGCTAGAGCCCGGGGTGTTGCTAGACATCCCCTGTAGGTCATCGTGGCCATCGTTGCAGGATTTCGAGTTTGGCTGGAGCGCATCGAAATTGATGTGGGACAGTCGCTTTGCAGTTCATGCTCCTGCTAAAGCCAATGCGCAGACGAATAGTCTTCCTCCTAATCGCTATCATATTATTATTGTGATTACTATAGTATGCCTATTGTTCTTCTTCACCGTGGCCATATTCACAATCGTCGCCGTCATCAGCATCATCATCTTCGCGACATATGTCATCATCATGAGGACAACCCTCATCTGCTCGTCCTTAGCAAGACCATCACCTTCCTGTTCCAGGTGCTGATGATCATCACCCGATCATTGTCATCATGCCCACCCACCCCAGCATTGTCATGACTTAGTCGTCGTGTGCACCTTATCGTCTCGTGCACGTTACCCAAGCGCCATCATCATCCTCATCATCACTACCAACATCATCAGCATCATCATCGTCCTGATCGTCATCGTCGTCGTCATCATCTTCGCCGTTGTTGTGGGTCTTACAATTACGTTGCTTGTGCTCTTGCAGACTTGGCCACCAATCTGAACGAAGTCGGCATATGCTTTCTCATGGACGTCAGTATCAGCACATTCTATCCATTATCGTCGTAATCATCTTGATCACTACCATCATCGCCGGAAGCGCTGCCTTCAAAGAGACAGCGTTCGAATTAACCTCACCATGCTACACCTGTAGTCGTGCGAAAGCGCAGCTTTAAGGCTTTAGGTACCTGCCCTCCTGTTGAACCCCTGACTGGACAGCCGAAACGCTTTTGAATCTAACAGCTAGCAGCAGGAAGACGCGGCTTGAACTGACTAGCCTATCCTTTGCATAGGTCTGAAATCCCTGCTGTCCTGAGACACACCACACTCAACTCAGGCTTTGGAAGCCAAACTTGGGATATCCTGCATTTCGGTGCCGTTCGAAAGCCTCGACTGCAGCAAGTTGGGCATGTATCGTACTGCTAGAGCACTAGCCTCTTCAACCCGCAAGCTTTCAGCCCCCAAGCTTGCGGAAGCATGTTTGTAACGGCTTTTTCATGCTACGGCAGAACTTGCTGCGAATCCTGGCTCGGTCAGGACCAGGCATGTGGGCAGTTATCAGGACTAGGGCCCTCGACGAGCATTGAATTGAGTGCCCTTTTAGGGTTTGGGTTGAATCTACAGCTTGGGGCTTGGGGTTTAGGATAGATCTAAAGTATACGGGTTAGGGTAAGCAACTGGGCTTAATAAAGATTTTGAGGCGCTCTGGTTTTAGGGCTTAGGGCTAAAGCTTGGGCTTCGGCCTCAGAGTTTACGGATCTAGGGTTTTAGGGTGTAGAGCTTGAGTTTTAGGTTTAGCGTCCTGCACTTTAATGATTGATTACTACGTATTGTTTCACTGTTTCAGAGTTTAGAGCTTGGGGTTTAGGGTTTCGCGTGCCGCTGTCCAGGGTCAGTTTGCGGTATAGGTTTCTGGATGACATCCAGACTCTTAACATCAAGCCTCATGCAATGCCTAGACCCACAAACGCAAAACCCTAGGCCTAGCACAATACCCCATACGTTAGAAATTCGATGGGCCCTAGTCACATGCACAAGGTTGGATCATGGAGTGATCTGATCACAAGTCTTTTCTAAAGCTGGATCTCATCACGTGTGTCGCTGCAACAGGTTGGGTCAGAATTTTCGCGTTTGCATGCCAGGCCCGCGTGGCTGTGAGGGCGAAGTGCCGACGACACGGCAGCACTACGGACCCCTAAACCAGGGAACCAGCATGAGAAACTTGGTTCCGCATCCTTTAAATGATGTGGCTTCTTGATTCTTGATCCGCACCAACATAAACCATTCCTCCCGCCATTGCCCGACCCCTCGGTGCTTGACGCGCAGCCCTAAACTGCACTCTCACCATCATGCAACGGAGTACGCTTGAGCATTCATTCGGCCTGATCCTACGATTGATCGCAGTACCTAGGTAGGGT